TCAGTTTCCTGGTTGGGATACTGTGCTCTAGTCATGCAAGATGTTACCACTGGGGGAGATGGATGAGGGCTATACATGCCCTCTCTCTATTATTTCTAACAACAGCATGAAGATCCACAATTATTTCAAAATAAAATGACATCCCCGAGTGCAGACAGAATCCAGCCTTGGGCCAAAGGTGCGCAAACTCTCCTCAAAATGGGGCTCCCTGAGAGCATGGCCCCCTCCTCCACCAGGGCTTCTCCCGCAGGGCCGTGAAGCACCTCCCTGAGATGTAGGCTCCCACCCTCCTGCGGCTGGTGGTACCTGCTGAGCAGGATGGCGGTGTCATGGTACAGGGGGTGGGCATCCCTCTTCATGTTGATGCTTTTCTGCCACTCGCAGAAGCTCTTCAGGGTGTTGTCTGCATGGTGTGTGGTCTTTAGGTCCTCCTGGGAGCAGAGAGAATGACTGCTCATGCCTCCCCTGAGTTCCAAGAAGGTCAGGCCTAATTGTCCTCCGTACAAAGGCAGGAGACAGAGGCCCAGCAGGGCAGTGGGAGGCCCACAGGCACCAGTCCAACTTCTGGCCTGACCACCCCTCCTGTAGGAACCTCCTGCAGGGGACCTGGGACCTGAGAGAGGGTCCTTCAGGAACCAGGGGTTGGCAGGGGACACGGTCCAGGCCAAGGAGGCCTTCACTGTGCCCTTCCGTACAGAGCAGCACAGGTCATGGTGCAGGAGGGCTCTGGCAGCCAAAGCCATTGCTGGGCACCATGGGACCACATGACCACTCACCTCTTCATTTTCCAGAAGGACCAGGCGCACAGTGGTGATGTGGATGTGGTTCCCAATGCTGGGGTCATGAAACAGGCCAGCCACCTGCCCAAGAGATGAGGGGGTCAGGCTGTCACCAGAATGAAGGATACAAGGAGCCAATGCCCACCCAACCCACCCTCCCACCCAGGGCAACGCACACCCATGCTCACACACAGGGACGCTCACACGTTGGACAGGTGATGCACGCTGCACAGTTGGACAGGTGATGCACGTACACCAATGCATGAGTGTCCCCATACCTCACACACACTACCCCAACCCGGCAGCCCCAGGACCTGAAGAGGACAAGAGACCTCCAAAGCCCCTTCCCAGACCACAAATCTTTCCTACACCACAGACAGGTAAGCTCGGTATCAGTCCCCAGCAAAGTGACTCCAGAGGACCAGAAGTGGTGAGGGTCTGCTTGGCCTGCCTGAGGACTCACCCACGCTGTATTCTGAGTCAGGGCTAGGGACAGCTTAGTACTACCACAAAGGCCTTCCCTCAGCATGTATAACCTCACTGTCTCCCAGGAGCTATGGGGGCAATACAGGCATCGAGAGATGTTGGAGGGAGGCAGGGTCTTAATTGGCTGATCAACTCAACCAAGCAGCATTGGTTAATGGCCCAAGGTCAGTGTAGGGTGTTTCAACTGGATAAATGATACCCAGGGAAGCCCAGCCCTGTTCTGCTGCAGGCCTGGAGAGCATGCCAAGGTGTGCAGTGTTTGTGAAGGTAAGATCTGGAGGTTACAGGTAACCACAGGCTCCCGGTGAGCTGAAAGTGTGACAAGAGCCCCTCGAAAAGGGCTTGTGACCTCAGAGAGCAAGAACAGAATTGGGGGTGAAAATGGGGTGAAACTGGCTGGGCATGGTGGCTCACACCTGTAATCCTGGCACTTTGGGAGGCCAAGATGGGGAGATAACGAGGTCAGGAGTTTGAAACCAGCCTGGCCAACATGCAGAAAACCCATCTCTACTAAAAATACAAAAAAATTAGCCGAGTGTGGTGGCATGCGCCTATAGTCCCAGCTACTCAGGAGGCTGTGGCAGGAAAATCAGTTGAACCAGGAGGCAGAGGTTGCAGTGAGCCGAGATCGTGCCACTGAACTCCGACCCAGGTAACAGAGAGAGACTCCATCTGAAAGAAAGAAAGAAAGAATGAAAGAGAAAGAAAGAAAACGGGGTGAAAAGGGACCTGTCTTGCTATCCTTGGGACAAACCCACCCAAGTTCTAGGACTCAGGTCTGAATCTAGCATGGGGAGAATGATGATAAATTGGAGTCTGTAGGTGGCGTTGGTAAAGAAAGGTGTGGCTATCCTGAAGGTGGCTGTGGGTCAGATAGTGCAGTAGCCAAAAAAATAGCTGCAGCCAATCTTGATTGAGCCTAACATGTACAGTCCCTGTGCTTGGAGCTTAGCATGCATTATGTCATTTAATCTTGTTACTTCTAAGGTAGGCACAATTATCCTCATTTTACAAATGAAGTAACTGAAGCTCAAAGAGAGGGTGAAGCTGGGCTCGGAATTCAGGTTTTGCTATGTCAAAGCCCCTGCTTACTTCCTAAATTTGGGGAATGCTGCCTGCCTATTCTGTTGGAAATTCTCAACGCATATTTATTTTGAAGGCTCTGAGAAGTCCTGTAGTAAAGAAGTCTGTTTTACCTTTTTTTTTTTTTTTTTTTTTTTTAAATGATACAGGGTCTCACTTTGTCACCCATATATGGAGTACAGTTGCATGATCTGCCTGACTCACTGCAGCCTCGACCTCCTGGGCTCAAGCAGTCCTCCCACTCACTTTGTCACCCATATGGAGTGCAGTTGCATGATCTCGGCTCACTGCAGCCTCGACCTCCTGGGCTCAAGCAGTCCTCCCACCTTAGTCCCTCAAGTAGCTGGGACGACAGGTGCGCACTACCATGCCTGGCCCGTTTTACTTGTTTTAATCCTGTGTGGCCAAACTTATTCAACAGCAGAATCTTTTTTCATAGTACGCTACTGGCATTCTTTGGAACACATTCCCTGAAATATTCCTTGGGAAATGCTATGATGAGACAGAGTCCCCAAGTGCAGGATCATGCTCTTCCACATCCATCACTTTATCCCAGGTAGAGCGATGGTTCTCAACAAGTCAGTCTTAAATAAACATCTGATCCCGAGGGAACATCTGTTCCCCATCCTTCTGGCCCACCCTGACCCAGGGCACATGTCTCCAGGGTCTCTCCTCAGCAAGTTCTCTGGGGCACTAGGAACCACACAGGGATCAGAGGCCAGGGGCCTGAATTCCCCTCCTGGCTCTGCCCCAGACCTGTGCTGTGTGGCTCTGCCTGGTCACTTACCTTCTTTGATCTTGAAATTCCCTGACTAAAAATAGGAATAAGTTGATCTGCCTCACAGGGGGACCTCAAAGGGCAAATGAAATGGTGGACATAAACACAGTAAAGTACTGTGTCCATGGGAGGGGAACTTCTGGGCCTGACAAAACTGGCTACTGGGCCCCTATCTCCCCGTGTCACTTCTTCCCACCCTGGGGGGTTAGTACATCCCAACACAGGCTGACCCCACCCTCTAAACCCCAGCCAGGGGAGGCTGGCCAAGACCCAGCCCAGCTGGCCCTACTGGGCCTGCTCCCCTGACCCAGGCTGCGCCAGATCAGAAGAGGAAGCACATCTAAGAAGCTGGGGAAACTGAGGCCAAGAAGCATACCTCTGTGGATATGTGCTCCAGCAAATGCAGTACCAGAGCTGTGGGCAGGTTGAGATTGGCATGCCAGCCAAGCATTCCCCAAACCCTAGCAACCCTTAGCAGGCAGCTCCTCACCTGGACTGGCCAGCACTGCTGCTGCTCTGCAGAGGAGGTACTGGGTACCACACTCCAGGTCCCAGTAATAGAGGTTAGTTATTCTAGGGTGGGAGCAGGGTGGTGTGGGGGAGGGAGGTTCCTGGCTAGTGGCCCTGTTGGAGCTGGGCATGGCTCACCTGGCCTGGGCACTGGGGGAAGAATGGCTGGCAGAGGCAGGTGCCATAGGCTGTGGGGCGGAGGGAGCAGAGGCAGGTTGAGTCCCAAGGTGGGAGAGATAGGTGAGTTTGAGCGAGGGAGGTCGGTCTAGGGGATTGACTGGGGCAGGCCTGAAAAGCAGAGGACACAGTCTTGTGGCACAATTAAGGGCACAGGCTATGGTGATGTATCCGTCTGTCTATCTGTGTCCCCTGGTCTAAGGGGCACTGGGCATGGGGATGTTAAGAGGGGCTTCTAGAAAGGCCCCTTCATGTCCCCAGGCCCAGCACCCACCCGAGAACTGGGAGCAGAAGAGCATACCTTGCACCCCACAGGTGCTTGGAGCACTGGAATCTCCCCACTGTGCCAGCCTCTCCGGGGCCTGATGCTTGTACACCACACGGGCTGGGCGTGGCTGGGCCGGGCCGGGCCAGGGCAGCGGCGAGGGGCTCAATGAAGTAGTCCTCATTGGAGAGCTAGAACACACCTTCCTGGGGAAGAAGCACCAGGGTCACCCAGGGAGGACTGGCCCTCAGCTGCTCTTCCTGCACGTCCCAGAGGCCCATCCTGCCCAGCTGAGCCCCCACTGCCCACACCACCTGTGACTGCCCACGGACACTCTGCACTTTCCTCCCTCTGGGCCTTTGCACACTCTGTAGCCTGCACCTGGAAAGCCCTTCTCTGCCATTTCACATACAGCCAAACCTTCAAAGCAGAGCTCAGAAGGCTCCAAATCTGACAAAATGCTGTCTTCCAGAGTCCTAGACAGCCATCCTGAGTGGGGAGGCTTGTGCCCAGGCCTCCAGGCTATTCTCCATCTCCTCTGCATGCCAGCCATTTCCAGCACTGTGCTCCCTCCCACATGGCCAGGGCTTCTGACCTTCCCTCTATCTCCCTAAGGGAACAAATCACTCCAAAGCATCTACACCCACACCCGAGCAGAGGAGATGCTCATGGCCACCAGGACACCCTGTTCTCTGGGCCCAGGGCCGCCCAGAGAAGGGAAGCTGGCAGGAGTGTCTTGGACATGTCCGCCAGCATTCAGAATCCACAGAGGGGAGGGGCCCTGGGAAGCATCTTTGATGCCCACTACCTCCTGAGGAAGCTCAGGGCTCCAACAGGGAAGAAGGTCTTACGTGCCTCGGACTTCCCCTCGTAGGCACTAATTCTGCTACTTGGGTCACACAGGACCAGGGAGCCTGGAGGGAGGGCTGGAGAGTGCATCAGCTCTTCGGTCTGGAGACCTGGATATGAATGTGGAGTGCCCCCCTTCCACCCACCAGTCACTGAATGACTAGGTGACCCCGGGCAAGATCCCCTCTGAGCCTGTTTCCTCATCTGTGAAATGGGAATGATGCCCTGTGTGCACAGGTGCTGCTTAGGTTCAACAACATCAACTGTACATTAAGGGACAGGCACAGGCTCCATAAATGAGAATACTGTGCAGGGCAGATGGGCCTTCAAAGGTCCAGATGTTGTGCAGCTTGTATTTGGGCTGCCCTGTCATTAGGCCCTGTGCAGCCACAGCCCACAGTTTTTGCCTGAGCAATCTAAGCTGAGGGCCTCCTGGGAACAGTGGA